TTATATATATATATATAATTTTTTTTTAAATTTTCAAAACAAACACAACACATAAAATCTTCCTTCTTTACATACTGTAGAAAGTATATCAGTTGGTTACAAAAAGACTTCCGTGCATCTCTTCCACAGTCATCAAGCATAATTCATATTAACTCAAGTATTTTAACTCAGATATTTATACATATTACCATCATCATACCTCCATTTTCATTTGACTATAGTCAAATAAAGGAGGGATAGGGAATAGGACATAAAGTTTTAGTGTCATTGGAGGATTTTAGAAATAATAAATGTAATGCCAGTAAATGTAATGTGGTTATGTATTAAACTTTGGTATATTTTATGATGAAGGATGTTTAAACAAATAGTCAAATGAAAATGGAGGTATGATGATGGTAATATGTATAAATATCTGAGTTAAAATACTTGAGTTAATATGAATTATGCTTGATGACTGTGGAAGAGATGCACGGAAGTCTTTTTGTAACCAACTGATACACTTTCCACAGTATGTAAAAAAGGAAGATTTTATGTGTTGTGTTTGTTTTGAAAATTTAAAATAAAAGAAAACTTTAATAAAAAAAAGAAAAGAAATACACGCTGGTTGCCAAGTGCCTTACTTGTGGTCAAGTGATGGTTGGAATACTATGACTGCCATAAAAGTAAGGATTGGCTGCCCGTCACTTGAATGACCAGTGCATTCGAATTTTAAATGGTCACTAACTAAAAGGTTGTAAGTCAAGAATTATGATTCTTTGAACATATCTTCAAATGAAGCAGTTCATGGACTTGCCACCTTATTGTCAAATTAAGTTTTCTTTTTTCTTATTCGCTCTAGGTTGAAGAAAGGCCTGAAAAAGACTTTGAGAAGGTAAGCGATATGTGTTAAGATTGAGTGTATATTAACATGTACTATTTTATATTAATAATTCTCAGTATCCTGATAACACCAATTCAACCGAATGATCCCATGTGCTAAAAGCCTATCTTTCTTTTTGACCTAAAATGGAATAAATTATTTTTCTGACTCAGACTGCCAATGGAAAAGTACAAATAGCAATATACTCATTCGTAATTGTCCTCTACAAGGAAAGAAGCAAAGCTGTGTGAACCCCTGAAATGAATTCCTTGCTTCATCAAATAGTTGGTCTGATAATTCCAAGCTGGGTATGTTCCATGTTGCATTACAACTCTTTGGCAACAATTCAGAACAGAACCAAATGCGAAATGTTTTGAATGTTCCATCGTAGGGAATAATAGAAATTTGAAAAAAAGCGTAATTGTCTCAGTCAACTTAGGCCCAGTGGCAGCTGCCTGTGATATATGCTTAAATGACTTCAGCTCCTCCTCAAGCCGAGTCCCAGCCAGTAGCATCAAAGATGAAAATAGTTGTTGGTCTTTTACTCTTGTTCCCCCCAACCCCCCCCCCCCCCCCCCCAAAAGGCTTAATCATAAAGCAGATTAGTCAAAGGGCTCAAACCTTGCACAATACATGAAGCAACGTTCCTCAAAAGAGCATAATTTCAATTTGGATTAAAAACGAAGGGAATAGGATGAAATATAGTTCTTAGAAAACAGCATTTAATGCTTGAACCAGGCATTTTGGAAATATTTCTGAACCATTCCTACCCTAAATAACTATCGGGTGTTTTGTTCTGTTCTGTGTTTTGTTTTGGCTTCTTCCCAATAGAGGAAGTCGTCATGAGGTGACACTACGAAGGTTTAATGAGTAAGGAAGCCAGTGGCTGTGAGCTGGCTTATTATAATGTCTAAACATGCCATCTAATATTTAGAAACGTGATTTAGTGAATTTGTTAATAATACCATTGATGTTCTGCTGTGGTATTTTTGTTAGCTTTGTGTTACAATTTATAACATAGTCAGTTTTGCTTGAGTCAACAATGACAATGTTTTAATGTCCTTTCCCATTTATTTGTTTGAAAGAGTAAGCCTGACAATACATTTTGACACACACATTGGATAAGAATATTTCATTTGTTGCTGGCTGAAGCACATATATATATGTTTAGCATGCCCTTAAAGTAAAAGAAGTAGTAACTGAAGGTACAGAGCCACTAGAAGAGTAGAATATCTTATACATGGAATGGTTTACAACAGGGATCACAATCTTTCGGACCTCAAGGACCACTAAATTCATAATTTTAAATCCTGCGGGCCACTAATATCTGCCTAGTGACTGGCTGGGTGGGCATGGCAAGGTGCTCATGTGACTGGCTGGGTGTGACCAACTTGATGTCACTCACACCGGGGGGCGCCTTGCCAGCCTTGTCACTCCTTGCCTGCCCACCCGGGCTCCTTAGGGCCCCAAGAGGAAGCAGTTGTTGGAGCTAAGCAGCCACCGTGAGAAAGAGTTGGCAAAACAGCTCAGTTCAGATTGGATCTGACCAAGAAGGAGGCTCAGCAGAAGCACCTCGCTGAGGACTAGGAGCGTAGGCTTTCCAAGCAGAGGGATGACCTGCAGGAGTGCAAGGCCAGGTGCTGGTGCCTGGAGGCCCAGTGGGCTGAGATGGTCAGCCAGTTCCAGGCCATAATTCAGTCCCACTGGAACGAGGCCCTCCGGCTCTTTGCCACCAGTGGTGCTTCCATCCAGCCTTCGCCCAAAGCCCCACGCCAGAAGGCTGAAGGAGACCCCAAGTCAGAATTTCTGCCCCATTCCGACCCGTACAAAAAGACCCCAAAGGGGGAAACTCTGCAGCAACAGAAATGTCCATTGGACGCATCTGGCCAAGCGGCTGCAGTTTGAGGACCCCTGATTTACTGCAATATAAACATTGCAAATAGTTTTGTCTCACGGACCCCCCAGTGGTCCACGGACCACCAGTTGGTGACCATTGGTTTACAATGTAATTTTCAACAACTCAAAAGGAATGTTACAGATAGTCCTCAAGAAATGTCAGACCACTTAGTGACTGTTCAAAGTTAGGACCGATACCCCCAAAGTACATACAACTGTGTTTCAAAATTATGACAGCTGCAGTGCCTCCATAGTCATTTATAACAAACAATGGGGATGATATATGCCCCTCCTCCCCTCCTCCCCCCCAATCCTGCCCCAATGGGACTTTGCAGCACTTGGGCTCTTGGAAGCAGCTGCCATTTTCAGTGCCCCCCAACGGTGTCTTTTGGAAATTGGCTGAAGGTTTGCGAGCTTTCTGCTCCTCTCCACTTGTTCTTGGGAGGCTGCAAATGTCTCCGGATTCTTGCTAGGCTTTAGGAAGCCAGTCCCGGCATACAAAGGGGCATTGCTGTTCCCTGATGGTGCATCATCCACGGTATTCGCCCGGGTCAATTTCTACTTTGTCAGCCAAAGGACAAAGATAGAAAGAGAATGTCGGATAGGTCTGAATGCATGGCTTAAATACATTTTGGAGTAATAGTCCACCTCCCTTACGTGTTGTGTTATACAATCTTTTGGCTACTCAGCAAACAATTTCCAGATAAAAAATCACCTTGCGGAATTCACCTCATCCTCTTTCACCATAAGAGGACATAATAGGACCATACCAAGACAATCAGTCCCATTGTGACAGTTTCCTGGAACTGAGACTGGCTGATTCCAGTAATGCCAGGCTGACCTGGCCTGGAATTTCTCAATCAACTTTATAGTCTTGTTTTCCCCCTTAGTGAATCTTTTACATAAGATCTTATTTTAATGTGTTACAAAGGTGCTGCTTGAGTGATGGAAAGTGTGAATATGGAGTCACTCAGGTTCTTTTCTTTTACAAGAATAAGCCCATTTCTCACACACTTACGCACAGATACGTAGTTAGAACCTTAGTTTTAAGTGTGAAAACCAAGCTTTTAAAGTGTGACCATGTTGTACCAACACAAGCTAAGACTTATATCTGAGTTAAAGTGCCCAGAATCTCAAAGCAGTGATTTCAAGAACAAAGAATCACAGGTTGAACAGTTTATCTGTAACAGAAAAGAAGCTTTTAAAAGTGAGGGCAAGGCGGGGGGAAAAGTTACGGTGCTTCTGCCCTCCAGAGTAACTGAATTGCTTTTATAATTGATTTTTGAGAGCAAGTTCTTTTTATTTTCTCAGGATTTTGGGGATTTTTTTAGCATTTTTATAACTCTTGCTGGTATTTCTATTTTGTATTGTCTTATTTATTATATTTGTATTGCCATTATTATAGCTTCTACTGGTTCTTGCAGTTGTGCTCTTTAAAAATGTTGCTTTAATACTGTGCAAACAGAGCAGGATACTAAGGAGTAAATCATTTGTGTAATTGGTTTCATTTGTATGGTGCCCAGTCATTTCAAGTGAGATTGGATACGGAGATAGGTAGGTAGGCAGGCAAGCAGGGAGTGTGTGTGTGTGTGTGAGAGAGAGAGAGGGAGGGAGGGAGGGAGGGAGGGAGAGAGAGGGAGAGGGAGAGAGAGGGGGGGGTGTCTGGGAACTTCAAGCCAGGCACCCTCTGCCACCCCTGCCTCTCCCACCCCTGCTGGCAGCTCTGGGCTGGACAGTGGTTCAGCTTTCCTGGTTAGCCACGATCCCTGACCCCCCCCCCCCACCTGCTCTTCCTCCTGCGGCTGGTGGCAGAGAGGAAGGTGAGCCAGGGCTGCAGCCACTCAGCCCCCTCCTCCAGCCTACATCTGGCCCCCCTTCCCAGACTCAATGGCGGGATCAGCTGGTTTGTCGAACTGCAGAAAAAGTTAGTTAGCGGTTCAGGTGAACTGGTGCGAATCGGCTGAATCCCGCCACTGCCCTTCCCTAGATCCTCCTATCCTGCTCGCTATTCTTTATGGCATGCTGCTATCAAAGCAAAACGGGATTGAAGTGGCTCGATGGGGGGAGATCTGTTTGTTGACTCCTTCTGGGAACTATTTAGGACTTTCCTTTAAGTCCCAGCTGGGTCATTCAGGCAGTCAACAAGCAGCAAAACAGTTTTTCAAGGACCCAGCACATCTCTCATTTGTTGCTCATGTGCTGTAGCTGGCTAAAGTTTGGCAGGTGATTTTTTCTCTGCAGGAAAGCTATGGAAAACTAGGGAAATGGTCCTTTTTGTCCCAGAAAGGCAGGGCACCTTCATAGGAGGGCAGATTTAGGAAAGGCGCGCATGCACAGTTTTCCTTCCCCAATGTTTCTTGCTGGCAAGTCAGTTGTGCAGTGGGTCAGCACGCAAGGCACGCAAGGGAGGGGGAATAGAACATGGGGTATCTTGGGGTGAGGGAGTCCCAAGACAGATGGATGCCTGTGCCTGAACTAGGCTCCCCAGGATCTCCCCCACCCCTGAACTTTACTTAATGACCTGTACATTTGTTTAACTAATACGCTGGGGAGAGCAGGGATGACTGGTGTTTACACGAGGCAAATCCATTTAACATTCTTCTGACTCTGAAGGCTTCATTATGGTCATAACTGAAGGACTACCTGTAAAAATGTATAATAAACTGTCTCGTAAACATCACTTATATAATGTGAGCGTGTGTGTGTGTGTGTGTGTGTAATTGCAGGGAATCCAAACTGCATCAAGCTTGTCAGCAGCTCCCTTGGCCTCCCTAGGTGGAACCTTCTCTGGCCGAGGCAGCGGGGATACCTCCATCTCAACTGATACGGAAGCCTCTGTTAGAGAAATTAAGGTAAGGTCTTTGTTAACGGCGAAAGGCTTTGTCTTGTTTCCCAGTGCAGGATCTTATCACAGTTTGCGGTCTGAGCTTCCACCCATTGCTTCTTGTCTGCCCTCTGATGTTTTGGAGAATAAGTTGACCACCCTCTATTGTGAGCCGCCCGGAGTCCTTCGGGAGTGGGCGGCATACAAGACAAGACAAATAAATACAAGACAAATAAATACAAATAGTCCCTGTGATAGTCCCTCAAGTACAGGAAAACAGCTATCAGGTCACCATTAATCCTTCTGTTTGATAGCTAGACTTACCTAGTTCCCTTAACTGTTCATCATAACCTTTAGCCTCCAGAGCCCTTATTGCATTTGTTGCTCTTCTCCGCACACTTTCTATGGTCTCAAGATCTTTGTTGTATTGTGGAGACCAGAACTGACTGCAGTATTCAAAGTGTGGACTCGCTAGTGCAGTATAAGATGGCACTATCATTATACTTAAACGGTCGTCCATCAGGACACCTTGATCCTTCCCACAGATACTCTTGGTTGAGCCAGATGCCGTCAATTCTACATCTATATATTTGATTTTTCTGCCTAAGTGCAGGACATTATTTTTCTCATTACTGAACTGCATTTTGTGGGATAGAGCCCAATGCCGAAGTCTGTCAGGATGCCTTCTGAATCTTGAGTCTACTTTCTAGCAATTATTTCCAGCTTGATGTCACTTGCAAATTTGATGAGTTTCCTTTCTGTCCCTTCATCTAGATTATTTATTAAGATGCTGAAGAGCACTGGGACTAGGCAGAACCTTGTGGTATCTCAGTGCATGCTTCCCGCCATGTAGACGTTTCACTGAAGTCTACATGCTGGATGCAGTTGGTCAACGTTGAATCCATCCAGTGGTGGTACTTTCTGTCCCACATTGTTCTAGAGCCAAGGTGGCGCAGTGGTTAAATGCAGCACTGCAGGCTACTGCTAGATCAGCAGGTCAGCGGTTCAAATCTCACCGGCTCAGGGTT